ACGACGCGGCAACTATATATACGCGGCGAGATCGTCCGTGAGCGGCGCGGCAGCGCCAAAGCGTACAGAGGGATGCGGAGGAGGATATATATCTCCTTGGAAAATGCAAATTCCCGTCGACGAGGTCCTTTGTGCCCGCGTCTACCGCAGCAGCAGACACCTTGTGTGCGCCGAGCGTCGCGCGTCAACGTCAAAATACCTTATCGCAAACTTGTACGCTGTACTAGATCGCGTCACGTCGAAATACTCCCGAAACACGGAGCTAAAGGATGCACCTCGAGCTGCCGAGTCTCGAGTCTCGGTGTATAGCGAAAAGAAACTACGACGACGACGACGACGACGAGAATCGTCACGTGTTGGCTAGGAAAATTTGCACGCGATACGGTCACGTTTTCGGTTGCGTACGCCGTACGTATATAATAACCCGAGCGAGCGATTAAAATCGTGTGCGTATGCGCCAAGTGCAGCACGACTGCCTGCCTGTCTGTGCCATTGACGTATTACACGCGGATAATTTAAGCGGCTTTAATGGCCAGCACGTTACGAACCGAGTCTTGTGCACATCGGGTGAAAATGTGACGATGTTGGGAAATGACGACGATAATCGTATTGAAAAAGGGATGATCGTTTTATGATTTTTAAACGACGATAACGAAAAATGAAAGCGTTTTTCGCAACTGCGTGTGTGTCCAGCTCGGAAGCTCGCAATTTTCCACGCGTGAGAACAAAAGAAAAATAAACTGTGCTCGTGCAGATATTAATATTATAATAAGATGAGCAGTAGTTATACGCGTCGGAGAGCTGCACCCGCGCACATGAATGGAAAATTGCTCGCTTCTTCGTCTCGAAACGCGCGCCAAACAAGCCATTGTACTTTTAGCTGCATATTGTATAATATATAGCTTGCGCTCGATGCTGCAAGGTGAAAAGATAAACGAAAATTGACAGCGAGCGAGTTTGTTCCCTGTAATAGGGAATTACACGGTCAGTAATTGAGGTGCCTTCGTGTGCAGTCACGTTTATTATGATGAGTAAAATTAATAAACGTACACATTGAGACATATTGAAAATAAAGAGTTAATTTTTTATGCTTCTCCGAAGGCAACCAAAACGCATCGAATCGAATAATGAAAAAAAAGAAAGGAAAGAAAAGCGTATAATCGAGATTAGTCCTGCGAGCATCCAGAGCTATATCTGCTTGCAATACCCCACATACGTACGCGCGAGTCTTGAAAATTGTCACACATTCCTCGCACGTAGATCATTAAAAACGTACACAATGAGCTGCTGGTGGCTCCGAGCTCGCGCGCGTCTTGCAATTTTAACGCGACACGACAGCAGCATCGGCACCAGCACCAGCAATGGTAGCAGTAGTGCACAGTCCTACTCTCGCTCATCATCATCAACATACCTATATATAATAATATAATAGAGTGCATCTCGCGTGCATCGATGCATCCAATCTCTCTCGGTTCGCACACGTATACGTGTAGCGCGTCGCGTTATATAAGAGAATGAAAATATAGCCTGCTCTCTGCACTATCTCGTCTGTGCAGCTACACAACTATCGAGGCACTCTTCTACGTACATATATAACACAGACGCAAACACACGCACACACATACATCGGAGCAATCAGGCGATATCTCTGCCTATACTCTCGTGCTGCTGGTGCTACAGCAGCAGCAGCAGCATCATCGCATTGACTTTCGCTACTCTCGTGCGACTGGTCAGAAAATTAGGTTGAGAAAATACTACCATAGTTGTTCACCGCACACGATGGAGGCATATTACGTTGTCGAGAAGAAGAGCTGCACTGGCTGTGTTACATGCGATATATCCCTACTATGCGACTGCGGCAGCGAAAGAAGTGTGTCATTCGAAACGTCATATATCGGCTACGCTATACCGCGCTCATCTGGGATTGATATTATCGATTTTTGCATCCACGCGAGATAGGTATGCGTACCTTATAATCGTACCAATCGTACAACCACGAAAATATTCACGAAAACTCGGTCGTCGTGATTATTATTATTATTTTTTTTTTTCATTTATAGCTATGATACAAATTCTTGCACCGTATAAAACAGCTGCTGCTGCTGTGGTTCCGCTGGCGCAAAACAATAAGATAAAAAGCATGGCCGCGGCAGCACTCGTCAGTCATCGGTCGGTATATACACAGGCTGTACCGTAGCACGAGGCAGGCGCGCGCGCGCATCAAAAGAAAGTCACCGCGCGAGGATCGACCTAGTCCGTATAATATTCATCGCGTTGATATATACAGGTATAGGACGGTACCGGAGCTCGAGTAAATTAAACGCAGGTATGCACTCGACTTTCATCCCTCTCGCTGCAGCCGTTGCAACTGCTGCTGCTGCTGCTGCTGCAGCCTTTCGCGCGTATTTACTACTATATACCATGCTACACAGCTGGTACTGATGCACAGCGCCGCGGAGGAGGAGGGACTTGAGGTTGCGGCCACTAGAGGCCAGCAGCTACCTGCCACACAGCAGCAGCAGCAGCAACAGCCTATACAGCCTCAGAGTAAGTCTCTCTGGCCTCTCTGCCTCTCTTGGGCCAAGCGCGAAGTTCGTTCTCTTTCATATGTATGCGTATCACACAGACTCGCACACACACACACACACAAGCATAAACTGTAACGAAGGCGCCAGCGCCTGGAATATGGCATACTAATGCACTCGCCAGTATGTACACAAACATCGCTAACTCATTGTACTATTGCAGCAACAGCAGCGTATGCATGTGCATACGTATGGATGTAAACGACTTCGCGCGCTGCTCTACTTTTCAATCGTTACTCTCAATCTTCTTCTATACATAGACGCGCACGCATATATACATACTCGCAACGAAACGGAATGCTAGGTATATATTACACACACGTACGTATATACTATCAACATACTATCAACGATCCGCGAGAGCTTCGAGAGCTAGGCCAGAAGGGCAGATCCTTCTGGCGCGCGCTTCGCACACGCGTTTACATGCATCGAGTGCATTATATCGATTAAGCGTCGCAGGGCTCGTCGCGGCTGACAACATGACAACAGACAACTGCTGCTGCTGCTGCAGTCCAGGATTAGTATAGTTAGTGAACTATATAATATAACTCTGCGCAGGCAGGCCGCGCTCATACGTGTATTATACGAGCCATCGCAGGTCCTTAATTGACAGGTCGTAGTGCTGCAGCTTTATCGCGAGCTGAGCTTTAACTCAAATCGATTTCGATCGCGCATCGCAAGCCTTACTTTTTTTCTGCCACCTCGTTCGAAGTACATAAGTATACGGAGAAAAGTAGCTGCACTCGAAAGCACGGCGATCGATCGAGATCCATCGATCGATGCGAATCACTTCATCTGCGACAGGATTAAAATCTTAATGAGCAAACAAATGTGGGTATCTTGCGATTGTACACATATGTGTATCAACAAAGATTCGACGTATCGCCGCTTGGGAGCGTAGACAACGTATTATACTTTCCATAAACGAATGAGTGAAGTATGCGTATATGAGCGTAGGCAACAAATTATACTTTCCATACAGTGACACATCGTAGCACTTGATGGAATTTCTCAGTATCTAGGTTGAAAGACAAATTTAACTAATAGCAGCTAATTCGCCAGGATGTCTTTTTCTGCGGTCCCACAAATACCGATACGAGAGGGGATCCAGACAAATTTTATAAAGTTTGAAGGTTTCGTTGAAGCGAATTTGAAACGTACCTTTCTTCAGCTGATTGTATTGAGTAATTTAGAGATTTTATAATAAAGATAACACTCTGAAACGTATCGTTGTGTGCTTCTCGAAGGTGTAGCGGTAGTTCAGAAATATAGAATAATATAGAAAAAATAGCTGCACTCGAAAGCGCGTAGAAATTAAATAAGCCCGGCGATCGATCGATGAGTATTTATGCCCGCATTCGTGATGGTATTGAACGTTTAGTGCGCAGATTTAAACGTAGTTTTCGATTGCATACGTGTGTGTAGTAGCGAAGACATTCATTAACGTACCTATTAGTTAGACTTGTCGCCGCTTGGGGGCGCACACACTAAATTGTACTCTCCGTAAACGAATAAGTAAAGTAAATAGAATATGATGTTCTAATCGAGGATTAATACAGTCATCATTCTCGTTAAGTGTGAAATGTTGAGCGGCTAACTTGGCCTGAGATGATTTGGAAAAATAAATAAGCCAGATTGATTTCGCGTTTCGGTACGCCGTCGCGATTGACAGTACACGACTGCGACGACGGCGATGGTTCGGCGCGGGCTTTTTGGCAAATAGAAATAAATGTGCGCGCCGAGCGCAGACGGATACACCCGCATAGACTACAGCGAGGTAGGTACAGTACAGAGATACAAAAATATATGACTGGGGCGTTGACGGGCGTGTTGCCGTTTCGCATGTTTACTCGGCGCACACGCGAGGGTTGCAGCAGCGCGCGGCACTCAATCTATAACATTTTTTTACTCTCCCTTTCGCTCTTTTTTTTTGCAGCAACAACAATAAAAAAAAAGAGGGAAAATCAAATAGTCCGTATGTTTTATTCCTTGTACAAACTTTGTATACGTGCTCTGCTCGGCGCGTCTGCGTTTTCTTTTCAATTGTTGATTTAATCGCCACGCGATAAATGCCCTGTCTCTTTCTCTCTGCTGCTGCTTTTTGCCATCGACAAACAGCCAGACAGGGAGCGCAGACAGAGACCGTGCGTGTAACAGGTACAATATTCGTCTTTGTTGAAGTGCGCGCGCGGCAAAATATAACGCGCGCTACGTATGTATAGGGTTTGTGTGCGTATTGCGCGCGGTTGAAAATAGAGGAAAAAAATATCGTATATTGCGCGTCGTGCGAATGGGACGATAACGAATGGTCGTTAGGGTTTAGCGGTGCGCCGGTGACAAATTGAGGTATATATAAAAAGAAAATAAAAAAAAAGTAAAAGTAGAGAAAAAGAAGAAAAAAAAGTTGGTACTTACAGCAATCAACTCGGATGGTTCGAGGACGAAGCATTCGTTTGGCCTCCTTGCGCTGCCGCCGGTCCGCTTTCCAAAACTACACGAGGGAAAAAAAGCAATCAAAGGCATGAGTTTCGTGAACCAAGTTTTCCTCGAATGTATACAACTCGATGAAAATGTGCTTTAATATCTGAGGTATTTTCATCTACGTCACTGCATTTTTATTATATTATTATAAGTGATTCATAATTACTTATCATAATGATTTGACCTACAACAACATCGAATAAACAGCCGAATACGCATAACAGCAAAAACCTCTTTTCACTCAATTAATGCGCCTATTCGTTGCAAATTAGACGCGCGCAACCTCGATATACACAAGTAGTTAATTCGAGAAGTCTGCGTCTATTAAATTGCCTTTACCTCTCGATGCTTATACAGTTTGTTTTACAATAATAAAGATGCGTAGCTCGGAACCGTTATTCTCACGCGCGGCGCGTTACACAACGAACAACGAGCGCGTCTATATATATATGCGTATAGTTCGACAAAGGAAAAATCCACAGATTCCCGGAATATAAAGTTCAACACTTCAAACGATGTCTAAAATTAAACGCGTTTATGCACACATTGCAAATGCAACGTATATATTGTGCACTCGTAGAGCTACTTGCGAACTCGTATACAACAACGCGCATTTTCCCGTTCGTATGTGTAAAGGTTAATCGCGCGTAAAGCAAAAGTCCAATACGCGAACCGCGCGTGTACAGGGGATATAAGGAGCCGGTACAAGGGAATTTCCTCTCTGCAAGCTCTGGAGGTATACAATACAATGCGTATATAGGAATGATATATATTTACGAAAATATATATATATAATCGACGAGCCAGAAGTGCAGCGCGCGCGCGTGTACACACACACAAAAGGATTTATATACAATCGCGAGTGAAAGCTCGCGGGGAATTGAAAAAGGATATATATGTTGCAGGTTGTATATTTGCGCATTACATTACAAAGTTCATCAACCGAAAAGCTTCGGTGCGCGCGGACGCAAAGCACAATGCGCGCCCGGGCTTGGAGAGTTGGAAAGCTGACAATCCTTTGAAGACTCGAGAGACCCCGAGAGAGCTTATTGGGTTCGACTCTCTCTCTCTCTCTCTCTGTCTCTCTGTGTATATACGTATTACCGGTCCATTTGGCGCGTATCATGTAAATCACTTTGACCTCGTACGCGTGTGTATAGAGTATAGGCAGCAGTAGCTAGCTCTCCACTTACGCGCGTTGATTAATAGACTTTTGAAGCGCGCAACTCGCGATCCGGACATTCGGTAGTGTATATAGGGGCAATAAATAGCCGAGAGCTTGCGAGCCATACTGTTGCGCGTATCTCTCCGCCACATGGACACATAACTTTAATTGCTACTGCCGCCACTGTGTGAAATAGTCCCGAGCTCTGTATGAACTTGCGCGGATCGCGATAGAGACAATGGAGAAAATTGATTTTTGGCGATACAACCGCCTAGCTATCTCGCAATGATATTACCGGTCGCGCTCCCGTTATATGATATAACGTCGAAGCTGCGCTACCTCGAGGATCGCGATCACCGATGCTATCGCGTCGGTTTATGAATTTGCGTGAGAGCCGAGAGGAACAAACGACGTCGCTCGGTGCTGCCGTTGCGTCACGCGTCGCGAAAATATCGTCGACTTTTCAATCTGTGTTTTACGATTATTACTTACTACTATACCAAGCGGCGGCACGAGTCAAGTACGCAATTGTTAACTATATATTATTATTCGCGTGCGGAGTTGTAGAAAAGTCGTAGATATTCTTCGAGGCTTCGCGTACGTACACGTAATAACTGGTGTACGCGGAGAAGAAAAAAAGCTCCGATTCTGAGTCGTATTAATCACAGGAAGCAATCCGCGAAAGGTGCAGTCATTATAAGCACGACTAGATATTCGTCTTTTATTTTTTTTCTTACTACTATCCTTCTCTCTTTCTCTCTTCTCCTTGGAGCGTCAAACACACACGCACACACACAACCGCATTATCGACCGCATCCTTTCGGCGCGCGCTCTCGGAATGACTGCCTTTTGCCGAGCGAGAGAGAGAGAGAGAGAAGAAAAAAGAGAAGGAAAAAGAAATCAATGCAGAATTCAATGCAGAGTAGGACGCGACTCAGACTTTATACGTACATATTGCGTTTCACAATACGAACTTTTGTAGTAGTACAGCAGCATATATATCGACGCGCATCCTCTACTCGATAAAACGGAGTATACGCGTTCGCAGTAGTGTGTCGGTCGAGATCGCGCTGGGGGAGCACGGCAGAGCACACTTGGAATCCGTGCAATTTTACCCCGATTTCCAAGGCAATACGATATAATGCTATCTCCTGGATATAAGATTAAAGTGGACTAGCGCGCTCGCGGGGGAAAAAACAATTACAAGAGATTAGAATATTGTAAGCTGCGAATGGAATTGGAGCTTGCGAATCCAATTTTCGCAAGCTCGGCGAGAATTCGGGATGCGAGCACGAGCACGAGCTTTTATACACATCATATACGTTATATATTATATCCTTACCAAACGGAAAATCGCCTCCTCGGAAAGGCCGGAGGCGGCGGCGGCTGCACCCTCGGCGGATGCGACCTGTCGACGCTCTCGCTCCTCAGCGCCTGCACGGCTCGCGGCAGCCTCGGTATCGCCCTCGAGCCCATGTAGGCCTCCTGATACATGAACGTGGCCGGATAGACCGCCTGAGGCAGCTGCTGCTGGCCGTCCCGCTGCAGCTGGGACGACTGATAGCCACCGGCGTTGCTGTATCTGTGCTGCAGCATGGCGAGCTGCTGCTGCTGGCCCTCCGCGCTGCTCGCGTAGTTGCCGCCGTGAAAGCTGTTCCAGCGTCGCACCGGCGCCCTGTGATGGCCGCCGGCCTGCGAGTTGTTGCGCTGCAGCTGGCCCGCTTGCGTGTGCTTCTGCATCTTCGTCGTTGTCGTCGTCGTTCTTTTTCTTCTTCTGCCAGAGGCGAATTTTCGATGATCGCCATTTCTCGCCGCCCCGCCCGCAGCCGATCAGCCCGTGCACCTTCTTCTCGGCATCGTTGAAGCGACGCTGCTTACGCGGTGATGTTTGTCGCTGCTCTCTGTGACTTCGTTGCCGCAAATTTATTTATTCGGCACGGATGAGAGATGCCGTTACAACGCGGCGTTACTTGCGACGACGCTGACGATACCGACTTGTATATTATTCGATCGAACTCCGGAGCAATTTATTTCCATGAAAACGCGAGTAAATAACGTTCGCGCGGAGAGCGGCAAAAAAATAAACTGCTACTGTATACTGCTGCGCGTGATCGCAGCGCACGACGATGCAAAGTGTAACAACGATTTACAACGGTTAACGCGTTACGCGAGCTGCTGCTCTCGTGTCTCTTAATTTACCTTTTACGAGGCAAAATGTTGGGTATATACACGAGGCGCGTCTCGCGGTGCCAGCAGTCGCTCTCTTCTTGAGTCGAGTTGCGCGCTATATAATATGGCGTGCGTAGAGAGTGAGAGAGAAAAAAACTCTCGTGTCTTTGCGCACAAAGTGTTCTTCTTCTTCCTCTCTTTTTCTTTCTTCTTCTTGTGCTTCCTCCTCCTACTCTTTCCTCTACTTCTTCTTCTTCTTCTCTTCGTCTTCTTCTGTTACTCTTGGGCCGAGCGGCAAAATAGACGCTCGAGATTTTCGTCGCGACGTTGATGCTGCTGCACACGACGGCTCACAGAGCTACTTTACAAAGAACAGAGGAAAGAAGAAAAAAAAACGCAACGTTTTTTCACTCATTTTCTTTTTGGCCGCTTTAATGCATGTTATACGTGTGTGCGTGTGTGTGTGTATAAGCTGTGGCGTGTACAGTATATACCTTGTTTTTTTGTGGCGGGGGTGGGTCAACCATGAGTTGGAGAGAGACTTTTTATGCATTCTTTGCGGCGTGTCAAGGAAAAGTTTTTCTTTTCTCTTGTTATACTCGCTCAGCTTTATATATAGATATATTTAACGATACAGAGAAAAAATATATATGTACGCAAATCGCGCGTCACGATTTTCTTAGGGTGAATATATTTAATTTTCTTTATCCCTCTTCCTCCCTGTGTGTATATATAGCTGCGCCTCGACGTTTTACGGATTTGCGGAGGATAAGACCGCGCGCGAGATAAATATCCGTGCGTAGGATATACATCAAGGCGGCTCTTGGGCTACTAATGGATTTGAAAATGGTATAATACGTCTGGGTTAGACTCGCGCATTTATATACAGCCACCCGGCGCGGCGGCGTGGACCAGTCGCCGCCGCCGCCGCGTTTGTTTTTGGGTATATAATAAAATGCGCGACGTCTGCCGCATGAAATTGAATAGCCGCGCGGGCGTTTGTCTGTCTTTTCGTCGTGCGATATATATCTGTTTGCTGCACGAAAGAAAGTTCCACCGAGAGGAGCGAAGATTATTCTTCTTCGGGCTCGCCGAAAAGTGAATAAAGCAGCGTAAAAATGGAAAAATCGTCGTACGATGATAATACACTTTTCGCAGAGTCATTTCTTCTCTTTGAATTGCTTAAAACAATCGTAAAAGTTTCTCACCCTCCTCCCGAAACAAAAGCAAAGTCCGATTTTCATGGATCCTTGCAGTTTTATTTTTTCAAGATCGTAACCCTCAACGTCATTCGAGTGCTAACCCACATTCTCCAGTTCAAAATTGAACACACGCATACGCGTACTTGCAAAAACATAATGCGCTTCGGAAAAACAATCGATGAGAAAAGTAGCTACATAATACATGACACGCGTGACACGTATAACAAAAAGAAGTTGTCTCTTACGTAGCTCGCTCGCTCTCGCTCTTTTACCCCCGCGAGCTGCAGTTTTGCTGCTGCTGCTGCTGCTGCTGTTATATTGCCGCACTGCTCTAAGTGAGATACGACGGTGGTACACATACCTACATATTACGTGCACTTGTGCGTCGCGAAAGTTAACCCCCTCTGCACTGAAGAGCTCGTCGATACAATGCCACGTATCATCATCGACTTTTCAACTTACAACCTGCAGCACATCGAGCGTCGCGCGCGAGGCTCTTATCTATGCGATACGATAATGGAGCAAATGCGTAGCAGCAGCATCAGTGGTGTGTATATATGACGATACGAGCCGCCACCGCAGTTCCCTGTAGGAGCTGCTGCTGCGGTATTTTCGTCCCTCGAGAGGATAACCCGGCGCAGCTCGCGTTTTTCAAAACTTTACCCCCGCAGCGGCAGCGCCTCGCGCGCTATATTCTACGCGAAAAAAGCCATATTTTCATTTTGAATATTATTTCCTCTCTCTCTCTTTCCGATGCAAAAACTAGAGGGGGGAAAAAGCAGAGATAAAGTTTCGAAGCTGTATAGCAAGACGATGAGGCCTGGGACCGCTGCTAAACTTTGCAAGTGAGATAGAGAGAAAGATGGCAAAGTTTTTTGTGCCCTCGCCGCGAAAACTAACAAAAATTTACTCCGCGCGACGGCGTAATGCACGAGCCATATGCAATTTGTTGAATTAACTTGGAGAAGCCCCGCAGACGGTGCAGTGCAGCAACAGCAGCGGCGGCAACGAAGGCTCGAGGTTCGAAATGAATATCACACAAGTTTGTGCCGCGTGGCTCTCTCGCTGCACACGCGGACGAGTTTTGAATTATTTTTCCATTGTTTGTTGCATGTGTGTGCGTGTGCAAGCGCACGTGTATGTAGATCGCGCACACGAGTGCAGACATTGTCTCCTCGGGCTTCTTCACGCGACTGATTTATTCGGTATGCGCGTATAACAAAGTTTTCCTCCGCGCCCCTCGCGAAAAGTTTCGAGCCCGCGCGCGTGTCGCGTTCGCAGCGTATAATACATAAACACGCGGGAGAGAAGAAAAATTCAGCTCCATAAGAATTACATTATTAAGAACCGAATCAGCCTTAAATGTAACTATTGATGATTTGGTTTTTACTTGTGGATTCGAGAGTGACATCTAGCGGTAGAGCTTGCGGTACGAGCGCAACGTGTAATTAAAATGGACAATATTTTAGCCTATACACAAGTTCCAATTCAATAAAAAGCCGAAAGAAACTTGACTCAAGACATGAAAAATGAAAAAATACTCGATGCAGTTTGACTCGCACGTTCGAGCGTGGTTCTCTTTGTCGTTCCAAGCAAAATAGAGTAAAATAATGCGCGAAATATTATCACGAGGGATTTTATGTGTGTGTATACGCACGTGTGTGCGGTTTCTCTGCCTCTAGAGAATATATTTTGAGCTAGCTTATAATGAACCGCACGCGTGTGCGAGCTGATCCTGCATATCGAACTATACAGCTCGGATGCGCGAGAATACTTCACATGTGCGTTTTCGCGCTCGCGCGTGCATAATAATATAATATAAATCAATTAAGTAAATAATGAAACTGTACTTGAGAAAATGCGCGCGCGCACATTGACACGTGCGTGTGCTTACACGTGTGAGTACGTATCAAACGAGTACATCCACGCGTCGCAAATTATACCACTCGTCCTCGGCGTGCCTGCATAGCGATCGCATTTCGTCCGCCAGCAGCTCCTCGTCGATACTATATAATATTAATATAAAACGAGACGATCGCCATCATCGCCGTGGCCTGGGCTATATTATATTCCGCGCGTTCATTAAACCACACACACACGCAGGATAATACACGAGCGCGCGCGCGTGGCATGATCTCTTTATTTAATGCACGAACCAGCACAAAGGGATCGATAAGGAACGAGAGCGACGCACCGCCGCTGCATTATTTCCTGAATTATGAGCGCGTTGTGTGCAGTACGGTGTATATGAGCGATGGCCTATTAATATTTTTCAGCTGATAATCACTGAAAATTGATGCGTTATATCGTATCGACTGTACCTGCGTTATAGAAATGCACGATATTAATGACGGCCAAAGGATGACAATTTAAAATTTTTTTTAAAGTACATGACCATTGATTGGCTTATTTAGTCATTTTTTTTATTACGAATATTTTGCGAAATATTAGACGCATTTTAAATGACCCTAAAATGACAATTTAATCGTTTCAAAAAATTTAGTCCAATTTTTAATCGCTACGAGGGCGATACTACCAGTTTCGCCGCTAGATGGCGAGTACCTTTATGTGTAAATCTGCAAGTGGCAAAGGCAATTGTATATAAGTTAAAGCACGATTTCATCGTAAAGTTTAGTACCCTAAGTATGTGTACAGTTACGCATTTATTATACTTTTATAAAGTTACAATTAACAAATTTAATTGGAATCATCGTTTTAAAATTTCAATGCAAAAAGTTAAAAATTACTATTTGAAAAGTGTTTCAATGATACTACGAGGTGTTTACCACGTATGAGCGCAGGGGAAAAGATTAATTTTTTCTGTCTTTCTCTCTCTCACACTTATTTTCTGCTTTCTCGTTTTTCGATGAAATAGATTACCCGGATTACCGTACAGCTATACTTTGTTAACTTGCCGAGCTGTTCGAAACCGATATATACACATTAAAATATATTATTTATAATTAAAGATTCTTTCGCCGCCACCGCCGCTGCTGCCATGCATGCGAGATTTTTACATACGATAATGGGTAACACGCGTACTAACGCGGCTGATAGAGACTTTTTTTCTTCCTTCTTTTTTAAAACCATGCACAAACGCGAGTAAGTATTATATAGTAGTGCTCGTAAAAAAAAATTTTTACGTAAAGTCGATAAATCAGTACCTAGAGTTTTAATTATAACGATGGGCGCTGTATATACGTATACGTACACGTGTTATACCGCGTGCACGAAACGAGAACTCGGCTGATTGCAGAATGGGTTTGATAATAAAAATTTTTAAGCGTCCGCGACGTCGGTGGCGCGTTATGTTGAGTTAATGCGTTGAAATTGAATTTGCGTTTATGTGTATATGTATACGCGCCCGGCTGCGAGTGACACAATTACAATTACGCGCAGACTTGCAGCTTGCAACGCGCCATAGCGTAAACACAAAAGATGCAAATAGTTGAAATTGTAATTGTAGAATGGCTTCGCTTGAGAAAAGCTTGGGTCCGTTCATGTTTTCTAACTCCGAATTCCGCTTCGTACATTTACGTACGTATATACGCATATAAGTCGAGGGAGATCGGATGTAAAAATACAGAGATACACTACTGCACTCGAGCTATAATATATACCAAGTCCAAGGCCGTTGCTAGTTTTAAACACGTATACTAGTACACACATACATACACACGACTGGGGAGATACGGTCAGAGAAGTCGAGCTATAGTACGAGAATAAACGTGCAGCAGCGGGCGCGCGCGCGCGAGGGCAGAAAGAAGCCCCCGGATGGGATATACGTATGTGTGCATCGCGCATTGCAAAGATAGAGAGAGAGAGAGAAGCGAAGGCCGAAGCGGAAAAAGAGGAAAGGATTATAAGCAGCAAGAGTACTGTGTGCAGTCGTGGTCCGTCCGTTCGCGTACCTATTGGCCGCAACGATGAAACGGTATGTGCTCGCGCGGCCGTCTGTGCATAGCAGCAGGCGGCGATCGCCTGTGTATTTCTGTGTGTGTAAGGATGCTTTTGAGCTCTCGCGCGGCACCCAACGCTGAATCCGTGAGAAAGTCGTGATCACGTGCGCGCGAGCGAGGATGCCGGTATAACAAACCGACCCAACGACGAATGCACTTTTGTTCGGAATGCCATTCAATTTTTTGCCTTCTCTGTG